ACACACACACACACACATATATATATATGCCAAAATAAAGCTAATATTCAAAATGAGTAAAATTTATAGAATGTATAATATAAGGTTTATGTACTCTAGACCGACCCTACAGAGCAAAAGTCCTGCAAAAAGAGAAAAAGCTACTAATAAACAGAAATAGAAACAAAAAAATGTATATGCTGAAAAATAAAAAGACTATCAGCTATGTCCGTTATTCATGTTAATTTTTTTTGCTCTCATGCTGCTCTAAAGACATGAGTTTGTTCTCCAGAGATTAAGGGACATTTACAAATTTTACATTGGTTTGTCAATAACTACTATTTTAAAAAGCCAAATAATTAAATATCGCTTCTGAAATGCAGTATGATATTTTTCATCGTGCTAATAAAACCTAAGAAATTTGGGTAGTTAAAAAAATTATTTCCATAAAATATTAACTTTGTATGAAAATTAAAAAGCAGATTCATTCAATATATATTAGTAAAAATAAACTTTACTTAAACATCATGAATTACTTAATCTTTTGAAATAATATTTCAACTTTTCAGAAATTATTCTTATAAAAAGTAAATTAAAAAATAATTTTGTCAATTTATGTAATTGGCAACTAAGAATGCATATCTACCATTTCCCAAACTTGCATGCTACTTATTTGCTTGGTATTTCAAAATATAAATTTTTTTTACCTTAAATATCCTTTTAGTCTATATATGTACATATATCTTTAAAAATTCTATTTATATTTTATTTTTCTAAAAATACTTACAGAACACCTTCCATTTGCTATGTATTATGCTAAGCTGTACTGTAAAGGGTAAAACAATGAAATATGCTTACAACAGAGTAGGGATAGAGAAACAGAACAAATCAGTGCCATACAGGAAAATACAAAACACTATGGAAGAGTACAATAAGATCTAATTTAGACTTTGGGGTCAGCAAACACCCCTAAAGTAATAATGTTTAAGATGAGAACTGAAAGATGTGACAATATGGTGCTATGAAAGAACTGAAGGAACACCATGGTTTCTGAACCAAAAAGAAGGAGGAAAAATATAATACTAAATGAGACTGGTGAGGCAGCACAGACCAACTTGGTTAGGTCTTTCTATGTCATATTAAAGATTTTAAATTTCAACCATTGAAGGATTTTAAGTGAATTGGTGACATGATCTGATGAACATTTTAAAATGATGAATCTAAGTACTATATAGAGACTAGGTTGTATGACACCAAAAGTTAAAAGGCATTTACAATAACCCTTGGGAAAGGTAACTATGGCTTGAAAAAAGACAATAGCAATAGACTTGGTAAGAAAAGAGGGACTGAGAGATGTTTCTGAGATAGAAATAACAGTGTTAAGAAAGACTAAAGAGTCAAAGTTAACTGCCTGATTTCTGGCATTAACAACTGAATGAAAGAAAAAATTTATGAGATGGAAAAGACTGGAGGAAGAACACTTCTTGTTAGAGAAGGGTAAGAGGGAATTACTCTATTTCATAAAATATATGATGCCACTGACTATAGGACTCATAAATTTCAGGATATATTTAATGATAAAAATGTATATCTTAAATGTATTAAATGTAGTGGTTGATTTTTGATATATCATTTGAACCGAGTGGACATATAAGAAAGAAACTGGTCAGAGTGTAATAAAGCTTAAAGTTTTGATCTGGAGACACAAATTGGCAATTATTAACATACAGACAGGAGTGAGATCATTTAGGAATAGAGGGTGAAATAAGGTATGAAGAGAACCCACACTGAATTCTAACATTTAGTGTTTGATTTGAGAAAAAAAGAGAAAAGATTGAGAAACAGCATGCAGAGAATAAAAGGAAGGAAGAAGGGAGATAGAGGGAGCTCTCCAAATCAAATAGTTTCCTAAACATAGAAGAAATAACTATACTGAATGATTTTTACATATCAAATGAAATGAGGAGGTGAAAAGTATGCACTGGATTTGGCAACCATGAAGATTAGAAAAGATAACAGGAAGAACAATCGGATAGAATGATAAAAATTAAAATAAGAGTGAAGAAACTGAAGAACCAAGGGAAGTGAAAAAGTAGAAAAAGTTGTGTGTAAATGAATGGTTCTTAAATTGCAATCCTCAAATTGCATCATCAACAACAACTGGGAACATGCTAGAAATGTAAATTCTTGGGTGTCACTCTAGACTTAATGAATCAGAATCTGTTGGTGGGCTTAACAATCTATATTTTAACAAGGCTTCCAGATGATTATGATCAGATGTTTGAGAATTACTGGAGACAATTATTTGAAAAAACTTATTTATGAAAGAGAATGAGGCTTTATTATCTAACACACACAATATGCAATTTGTAGAAAAGAACCCCATTCTTTAACCTGTGCACTAGCGAAGTGCTTCCCAAGCCTTTTCATGGCACAAATAATTAAAATATTATTAAAACACACTTCAGTATATAGAGATGACCAGTACAGGGGATAATTATGCCCATGTCTGGATGGCTACCCAAAAAGCTAAGTGTATCTGAGTCTCAGAAAACCAGTAGTCCTTTCGAAATACAGTATTGTCCCATAACAAAGCATTGACAAATCTGTGCATTAGAGAAAAAATAGCATGAAGCCTGTAAATAAAAATTCTTAACACTTTTATGTGACAGTAAGAAAAGTCAGCTCAAAATTTCTTTTCTCCCTCTGTACTTGCCTCTCTACCAAAAAGGCAGAAATGTACTTCTTCTTCTCTGAAAATAAAACCATAAAATAAGCTGTTTAACCATTTGAAAATAAAGCAAAACATCTGATTGGCAAAAATCTGTCATATAGGTCAAGTGCAGTGGCCCATGCCTATAATCTCAGCACTTTGGGAGGCTGAAGTGGGTGGATCATCTGAGGTCAGGAGTTTGAGACCTACCTGGCTAACATGGTGAAACTCTGTCTCTATTAAAAATACAAAAATTATCCAGGCATGGCATCATGTAGCTCTCAATCCCAGTACTTGGGAAGCTGAAACAAGAGAATCACTTGAACCCAGAAGGCAGAAGGTACAGTGAGCTGAGATGGCGCCACTGCACTCCAGCCTGGGCAACAGAGCAAGACTTCATCTCCAAAAACCAAAACCAAAACCAAAACCAAAACCAAAACCAAAACCAAACAAAACAGAACTGTCAAATATAAGTACTAAATAAACACTTGTTGAATGACTAAAAATTAGCGTCCCTGTAAGAACAAGATAATTAACGGTAAATCATATAGAAAATAGTCCTAAAAACTATTAAGACTATTGATAATACTTATCACTTGATATTATTTTTTTGCAGCTTAAAAGTACAGAACTAAGATAATAAAATATCTTTCTTTAGTAATAGTACAAAAATGTATTGCTGGGCTTTCCAGTTCTAGAACAAGAACTAGAAAACACATAAAGAACCATATGGAAATTTTAGAACTAAAGAATAACTGAAATAGAAAAAGCACATTGACGGGCTCAACCATAGAATGGCGAGCACAGAGGAATGACTCAGTGAACTTGAAGACAGAACAAGAAAAATGACCCAGTCTGAAAAACATACAGAAAATAGACTAAAGAAAAAAAAAAGAAAGAAAGAAAATGAACACAGCCAAAAGGGCCTAAAAAAAACTATAGCAAAAAGGCTAACACTCATATTATTGCAAGTCCAGGAGAAAAGAAAGTGAATAAATCTTTTTAAAAAAAAGGTATTCAAAGAAAAAGAGACTGAAAATGTCCCAAATTTGGCCAAAGGTATAAGCTTACAGAATCAAGAAACTATGTAAAATCTTAAACAAGAAATACCCAAAGATATCTGCTACAAGATACACCACAATCAAACTAAAACTAAAAATGAACTATCTTAAAAGCAGCAAGAAAAAAACAACGCCTTACCTAAAGGGAAAAACAATTTGAATGGGAGCAGATTTCTCATCAGAAACCTTAGAGTTCAGAAGGAAGTTGCACAATATTTTTCAATTGCTAAAATAAAAGAAATGTCAACCTGAATTCTAAATATGATAAAATTATCTCTCAGAAAAGAATGAGAAATACATTCTCAGACAAAAGAAAACAAAGAGAATCTGTAACTAGCAGATGTACCCTAAAAAAATAACTAAAGGAAGTTCTGGAAACAAAAGAGAAACAAAAAAGAAGGAACCTGAAAGTATCAAGAAGTAATAAAGAACATAGTAAGCAAAAATATGGGTTTTCTTTCTCCTCTTGAGTTTTCTAAATTATGTTTTTGATGCTTGAAGTATAGAGCATACATTGTCTGATGTGGTTTTCAATATATAGAGAGAAAATATTTAAGACAAGTCCATTAAGAGATAAAGTAGAAAATAAAGGAATTTAAATGATTTAAGGTTTCTACATTTCACTCCAGTTAAACGTCAACACCAATACAATGTGATAAGTTGTATACATGTAATATATTACCTAGAGCAACCACACAAAAAACCTACAAAAAGAAATATGCTTAAACACTATAGGGCAATTGAGACACAATTTACAATTCTAAAAATACGTTCAAATAACCCATAGGAAGGCAAGGTAAAGAAAATAATGAAAT